AGAGTTGGGATTGGCTCTCTCAGGGTTGGAAATGCATTCAGGCAAGCTTAAAAGAAGACTCCTCAAAGTAATTTTAGGGGCAAACCTTCTGTTAGAAACTCTAGATTCAACTACCAGGCTCAATCTAAACTAGCCACAAAATCCCAAATCAAAAGCACCCCAGTACTGACCTAAGAATTCCTTTAATTGACTTTGTTTCTAGTTACTTTAGGGGCAGAGAATTGAGAAATGGAAGGGACTTTGGAGGTCACCTAGTCCAATTTCACACATAAGGAAACTGGGGCCCACAGAGGATGAGAGGCAGTGTCGCGTAGTGGTTATACTGCTGGACTTAGAGTCAGAAAGATAAGAGTTTGAATGCTACTCTGACACTGTGCTGGTAAGTCATTTAACTTCTGGGTATTAGTTTGCTCTTTCTGAGGATAATGAGGATAATTAATAAAAATGAGGATAATATCTCTAGTACCTAACTCACAGGGCTATTGCAAGGCTCAGATCAGATAACATGTAAAGTGCTTTGCAAATTAGTGTTATGTAAATATCACTTACTATTCATTATTAAGCTACTTGCCCAAGGTCAAGCTGGTGGCAGATTTGAAATTCAAGGTCAGGCCCTCTGGTCTTCTGAACTCCAAATTCTCTTCTCTCCCCCAATCATACCAAAATTGGACACAGCTCACTGATGCATAAGGAAACACATTAGCAAGGGTAAGGCACAGCCCAATTCTCATCCTTCCATAGCTTAATGTAGGATCTTTGACACTTCTGGAAGGACAAGGGAAGAATTACAACCACAGAACCACTGGACCTTAGTCTAACTCCCTCCTAGTACAGCTGTGGAAACTGAGGTCAAGAGAGGGCAACAAGGTAGCCCAACTCCACAGCTAGCCAGTGGCAGAGATGGAGTCCAGAATTCTTTTCACTCCCTGGTGCTGCCTATTCTTCATTGTATAAAATTCTATAATAAGACTTTGAGCCCATGTTCCTCCTGAATGCCGAAACCTTTTGCTCTTCCATTCCAGGTTAAAAAGAATGTCACGTCTAAAGATTTTTCCTTCCCTTTTAAAGCAGAGCCTGTGGACAGCAGTATACCACATACCGCTCACCTTGCGCAAAGAGGACTCTGTTGAGCATTACAAAGAAGCAAGAGAAATACCAGGCAGCACCATAGAGGGCAAATATCCACTGTGGTCCTCATGTGCATCAAGTGAGTGAACTTTAGTGGTTAATTTAGAAAAAAAAAAAAAAGGGAAGTGCTTTGAGCACTGAACAAGGCCTGGCCAACCAAACCCCAACACACCAGACCCCGGTTCCTCTTAGATGGTGATGCTATTTATGGCAGTGACTGGGCAGGTTAAAACAGGCCATTGTCTCATTTTCTCCTCACATAGCAGGTCATCCGGAGCAGTGCCTGTGATGCTCTCAGAGGCCTGGGCCACCCGTTAATAGTTTCCAAATCTCTGCACTTAAGGATCAAAGTGGCGCTAATGCTATTGAGCTGCACCAAGAGCCGACATAAGGGTTGGCAGGACAGGGAATGAGAGGAAAAAAGATGTGCACCATCAGTCCTCCTGACTGCAGGCTTGCATACACAGGGTGTGCCTGCTGGGCTCAGGCACACCCTAGTATCTTAAAAAAATGGTATTTGTATCTCTTTTTAAAATTTTGTATTTCTAGGTGAGGTTTAGCTGTTATTTTTTAGAAAGTTTCATTAAATTTTAGTTTCTTTGGTTTGATTACTAAAAATAATGTCCTTTATGACTGGTCAATAAATGTTTGCCTTAAAAAATAAAAAAATAAAATTCAATAGGTGCACAGCCTAATAGAATGTACTGCACACATCTATGCTGCTCACACATCCTGAGGCCAATAATTCATATGCCAGTCAGAGTCACCACAGACTTAGTCTAACTACCTCATGGTACAGCTGTGGAAACTGAGGCCAAGAAATGACAATAAGCACTGACAAAGGCTTGCATGAAGAATATGAGAGGGAAAATGATGGGATTACACCAACTATTTCTTCTTTTTAAATGTCTTCTGGGTTTGTGGTTCCCCTTAGATATACACAGTTAAGCTCTCTGTTATCTGACTATCCTGGGGAATGGGGTGTTCTGGTCAATCCAATATTTTGTTCAGAAAGAATGACCATATATACCATACATTGGTTTACTAACTTTTCAAAGAATCGATGTACAAACACAAATATACAACATGGCAACTAGATTGGCCATCATTTAAGCTTTCTTGGAAGAGTCACAAGGTCCAGTTGACTGAGGGGGCACTGAGAGGTTAAGCGATTTGCCCAGGGTCATACATTGAGCCTATGTCAGAGGTGGAGGTCGATTCAAGGTATTCCTGACTCCAAGGCCAGTTCTCTAGCCACTATGCCACCCTGTCTCTCAGCAAACATAATCCCCACACTAATTCTAAATGGGGAGGAAGGCACAGTCTTTTCTTGTCTTCTGGTCTCAACAGATTGGGGAAGTAGCCCTTTCAAAACAACATCAAAAAAGGCTGTGTGAGAACCTTTCAGATCTCCTGACCATTTGTTTTCACACCTCACTTTAACTCAACTTGACAGAATTGTTTTTCACTCACAACCTTTCAGCTTGACAGCCCTTAGCCATCACTGCCTCTCATTGGCTCTGGAGCGGAGCTCTCTGGCTGTTGCTAGGGACCAGTCAGAGCCTGGTCTCTGAATGAGTTAGGTAAAAGGAAGTACATACACCAAGTAAGGTTCTAATGGAAGATCTGCTCTCTCCCTTACACCTACCTAGGGCACGAGAACAATGACCTAAGGAACCCAAACTAACTGGTTATAACTTCTTCCACCTTTACCTCTCTTCCCTTTGGAAAAGGTGAGTTGACTGAGATTTTGTTTAAAAATAAATGTGCCATACACATCTCTCTATTATCTTTGACTTTTGTAATGTACTTTCACATCCTATTTCTAAGCTGATTGTCATGGTAAGGTAGGTAGGTAGGGAAGGCATTATTATCCTCATTTGACAGATGAGAAAACTGAGGCACAAAGACATGCCTTGACTAAAGTCTCCACTATGAATTAGGGGAAGAATTGGGCCTAGAACCTGTGGGGGGGGAGTAGGACAGGAAGCAGGTATTTTCTGAATCCCAGGTTAGGGCTCTTGCTGCCACACCCTGCTGTTTCTCTCATACAATAGTTCTCAAATCCCTAAATCCTGGAACTCTTGGGGAATTACCTCCTTTAAAAGAAAAAGCAGCATGGACTACCACAGAGGCTAACTATCTTTGCCAGAGGTACATTTTTATTGATTTGCTCCCATGGGTGGGGTGGTGGGGCAGACGGCTTTTCTTAAACACAGACCCATGATATACCCAATGTGGCTGCTGCTGCAGTGGAAGGAGATGCCACCAGGACACCTCAGGCTCTGGTAGCAGTAATAGGATGGTCAGGAAAAGAAAAAATGGTGGAGTTAGGCTCTGTTCCTCAAGGAGGGCCAGCTAATCTTAAAAAATCCTCCTTAAAAAATGCAATGAAGAGGGTCCCACTTCAAGATTGTCAGCTGATGCCATAATGATCAGTTAACACCTCACAAGCTGACAATCCACTAGAGATTAGTTGACAGTTAACTGACAACGTGACCAGGATAGTGGGGTTAGGTAGCAAGGAGACCCAGGAGAAAAGTTAATGGGAAGCCAATAAAAGCAATCTCTTTCTGTTTCTAAATTTATCCTAGGTTAGAGGACGGACCCTGGCCTGACTACTGAACATCACCTTGTGTCAGCCCCTTCACGAGTGGTTGAAGTAGAGGACTGAAGAATCTAAATTATCGAATGACCTCCGAGCAGGCCCTTGTCTCTGTATTTCAGTTTCTTCTTTATGAAAAGGAGACTATGCAATTGGGGGCTCCTAATTATAAAGATTAAGAAGATAATATTCTTAAAAGCATTTGGAGACTGAGGTGGGGAAAGGGGGAAGGTGCATGGTGCATAAAATTCTACTTTGCAGAGCAGGCGTGAGGGTAATGCATCTTCTGGGAGAGGTCAGAGCTCTAGCTCTGTTGCACATGGGGAAATCACTCTCAAAAGATGGAGATTAAAAAAAAGAAAACAAACCAAACATCAAAACCCAACAACAAGTTGCTCATTTGTTTTTTTTAAACTAATCACCCAGATACAGCTGTTCACATCTGGGATTGCAAACAGTGCATTAATGATCTGAGTTTCCTTCTCCAATATTATTACCCAAGTCGTATTTCAGGTTGGGCAAAAACTGAAAATGTTCAATAGTTACTCATCCAACAGCTTCTGAGGAGGGAAAGAACATGGAAAGGGACACGAGCACTTCATTGTAGCTGGTCCTCAATTCCTTGGATGTTCTCTGAGAAGCTCCTGATTCGGGGCCTCTGGGGAGAGCTTGGGAGGGTGGCAGGGGAGGACTCAGTAGAACTGGGAGCTGCTACCTCCAGTAGCTTAGAATTCATACACATTCATCCTCTCTTCCTCCTTCTCTCTCTCTCACTCATATTCTCTCTCTTTCACACTCTCTCATTCTTTCTCTTGTTCTCCCTTTGCTGTCCCTCAATTCTTCTCCCTTTTTTCTTGGCTCTCCCTTCTCTCTCAGGCTCCTGTATGCACACACACTCAACTGAACCATCCCCAAGAAGCATTGCACAGAAGTTGCCATTTTCCTAGCTGGGCAAGTCTGGGCCTTAGAGAGGGCAAGTACTTATGCTACAGTGATTACACGTGACAATGCCTGTGATCATCTATAGGACGGTATCTTTAGGAAAAGTACTATCTCACCAACAGAAGCTACCCTTCTTCCCTCAGACCCTCTGCCAAGTTCCTTAGCTAGGCCACATCCCTGACTTTTCCTACCATTAAAAACGCTTAAGAAGAGATGGGTAAACCTCTTGGCATAACCAGGGACCAGCCACTGGCAGTGGGTGGCAAGGCATGGTTCTGGTTTTGTTTAGCAAAACCCCTTTGCCCACTTGAGTGGTGGACCTGGGGTGTGATGGAGGGGCTAAGGCCGGTAGATCTTAATGACGTCCTTGATGGTGCGTCGGCAGATCGGGCAGCAGGCATTAGGCTGCTTCCTCAGTTTAAGACCGCAGGTGTGGCAGAGGCACATGTGGCCGCAGGTGTAGATGACCATGTCTACCTCACTGTCAAAGCAGATGGTGCATTCGCCATTCTTGGTACTTGGAGGCTCTGGCGGGGAGAATGCAGGTGATGTGGGGGGGCTCAGAGGGGAGCTTGGAGCAGTCACTATTCAAGAGAAAAATGAGAAAAACACAAATATGTACTTTCCCCCAAATATCTTAACCCTGAAATTCACAGTGCACCCTATTCCCCAATCCCATTTTACCAAAAAGCAATAAATCTTAGCCTAGGCATCAGAGTATGCAAAATACACCTGGCTAACACATACACTAGGTATAACTTAGGGAAAAAAACTTTAATAAGCAACAACTGAAAAGAATATGGGAATCACTCTTGAAGCAAAGCGATTATATGTAAGTAAGAGAAGTGTCTGTCTTCCACTTCTATCTTTGCATAGGTGGTTTACTATGAATGAAAAGAATTCTTTCTTCACCTTTACCTCCTATAATTCTTCAAAGTACAATTTAGGTGTCAGCTCCTAGATGAGGCCTTTCCTGATCTCAAAGACCCCACGCCCCTCCCCAACCCCAACCTCAACCCCTACACTGAGTACCCTCTTTCTCTTGAATTTAATTTGGATTATTTGTATTTATTTGTATACACGTTATAGCTCTCTCCTCTCCCCCAAAAGAACATTAAGTTCTGTGAGGGTAGGGTCATTTCTAATATCTCACACTGTATACCAAGATAAGGTAAAAATGGGTACATGATTTAGACACAAAAGGTGATATCACAAGCACATTAGGGGAGCATGGAATATTTTACTGATCAGATCTTTGGATAAGGGAAGAATTTACGACCAAACAAGAGATAGAGGATCATGGAAAGTAAAATGTGTAATTTTGATTACATTAAATTTAAAAGATTTTACAGAAACAAAACCAATGCAACCAAGTTTAGAAGGAAAGCAGAAAGTTAGGAAAAAATTTTTATAGCATGTTTCTCTGATAAAGGTCTCATTTCTCAAATATATGGAGAACTGAGACAAATTTAGAAAAATACAAGTCATTTCTCAATTGATAAATGGTTAAAGGATATGAATAGAGTGTTCAGAAGAAGAAATCAAAGCTATCTATATTCATATAAAAATGCTCCATATTACTATTGATTAGAGAAATAAAAATTTAAACAACTCTAAGGCACTCAGATTGGTTAACATGACAGAAAAGGAAAATGACAAATGTTGGAGGGGATGTGGAAAAATTGGGACATTAATGCACTGCTGGTGGAGTTGTGAACTCACCCAACCGTTCTGGAGAACAATTTGGAATTATGCCCAAAGTGCTATAAACCTGTGCATATAGGTCTGCATCCCAAAGAAATCAAAGAAATAGTCAAAGGACCTATATATACAACAATATGTATAGCAGCTCTTTTCATAGTGGCAAAGAATTGGAAATTGAGAGGATGTCCATCAATTGGGAAATGGCTGAACAAGTTGTGGTGTAGAATTGTAATGGAACACTATTATCCTATAAGAAATGATGAACAGGATGGTTTCAGAAAAACCTGGGAAGACTTATATGAATTATTGCAAAGTGAAGTGAGCACAACCAGGAGAACATTGTACAAAGGAGAACAACAATACTGTATGATGGTCAACTGTGAATGATTTAGTGATTCTGACCAATACAATGATCCAAGACAATTCTGAAGGACTTTATGATGAAAAATGCTACCTACTTCCAGAGAGAATTGATGGACTCAAAGTGCAGATTAAAGCATATTTTTTTCACTTTTAAGATTTTCTTTCCTCTTTTTTTTCTTTTGCAACGTGACTAATATGGAAATACGTTTTGCATGATTTCACATGTATAATTAATATCACATTTCTTGCCTTCTTAATGGGGATGGGAGGGGTGGGTGGGAAAGAGATTTGGAACTCAAAATTAAAAAAGGAATGCCAAAAATAAATAAATAATAAATTTATTTAAAATTTTTTTTAAAGAGGGTAGAGACACTTTTATTACCATCTTTATATTTCTAGTACCTAACATAGTAGCTTATATATATATACATATATATGTATATATATTTTTATATAGTAGTCATTTAATATATGTTGAATTAAATTGAATCTAAGAAAACAAAAAAAGAAAAGTTCCAAGGAAATTTGCCCATGTACCACCACATTAGCTAAATGCCCTCTTGGTGGAAACAAGCTATACACAAAGAAAAAAGGAAATCCCTTCTCTGATAGCACCTGTTATAAGGGTCATTATAGCTGACCTCTCAGGAAAAAGTTGGGGGTGGAATAAAGTCCCCAATTATCTATGAAAAGAAGTCTCCCACAGTGGCAGAAATCATTTGAAATGGTTAATCATCTACCACTGGCTTCAATAGCAGCTCTGAATCTGGGAGACAAGAATACAATAAATATAGAGGGAAAGATGTGGGGGCCAAGAGAGGACATGGGGCCTCGTGTGTATGTGGGGGGGGGGCTTGGTTAGGCAAGTGAGAACAGATGGAGTCAGTGAACGACAACATTTTTCAGTGGAGCTTTTGATATCTGATAACTCAAATGTCTCATTTCAATCCTTCAGCTTGTCTCACTGAGCAGCTCTGGCATTGCTAGGAAGACAGAGAATCAGACTGATGACCCATTTTTTTTATAAGAGGAAGGATCCAGGTTGTTTAAGTTACCTAAAGAATACTGAGGGGTTTGGAGGAATATTCACCACTGGATCGCCATATTCACTTCCCCTTTAATTCTTAGTTCCAGGACAAGAAAATGGAAGGAAGGAAAATAAAGGACGAGGGTTTGCAGAAAGAAAATGTCAAATTCACCATAAGCTGACTAAATTTTAAATGGGTCTAGAGGCAGAATAATAATAATAATAGCAGCTAGCATTTATATAGTGCTTTAAGGTTTGCAAAGCACTGTACATGCATTTGCCAAATGTGCACTCATTTGTCAAAGGCAAAGGCTAGTAATTTCACAGAATCACATGTACTCAAGAGTTGGAAGAGAGATGTCTATTCCAATTGGGTTTGAGCAGAAATTCTCTCGCCTTCATCATTTGGATGGATCATTCCAGTGATCATGCACTTCATAACTTCCTGAAGGACTCTGCTGATGACAGGCCTTATTATCTTCCAGGATACCCATTCCACTTTGGGATAGATTTAATAGTTAAGAAGTTTTTTCTTATATCTGAAATCTGTCTCTCTGTAATATTGACCTGCTCTCAAGGGCCAAGCAGAACAAGTCTAACCCTTCCAGTTGATATCTCTTCTAATACTTAAAGACAGCATTCATTTCTCCTTCCCTACCCCCTCCACCAAAGTATTTCTTTTTTGAGGATCAATATTCCTAGTTCTTTCAAGAATATTCATATATCACATTAGGTAGCTAGGTTGTACAGGAGATGGAGAGCTTGGCTTGAAGTCAGGAAGACTAGAGTTCAAATCCAACCTCAGACACTAGCTGAGTGATCCCAGGAAAGCCCCTTAATTGCTATTTGCCTTAGTTTTCTCATTTGAAAAATGGAGATAATAATAGTACCCATCCATCAGAATTGTTGTGAAGATAAAATGAAATAACCAGGTTTGGCAAACCTTAAACACTACATGTTTTCATTGCTGCTCTCATTTTACAGGCCCCTGACCATTCTGATCACTCTACTTTGGACCCGGTCCAGCATGCGAGTGTCCTTCCTAAAAGTGTGGTGCCCAGAGCTGAACACAGTGCTCCAAAATAGTGGGTTCATCTTTTTCAAGAAGAGGTTGAACAAGTGTCAGTTTTGTAGAAAGTACTCTTGTTCAAGAATGGGCTGTACTCGAAGGCTTCTGAGGGCCATTCCAGCTCTAGGATTCTGCACTGACCAGGGCAGAGTGTTATGGGATTATCACCTCCCTCATCCTGGACACTATGCTTCCATTAATTCAGGTTCAAACTGCATTAGTTTTTTGGCTGCTATACCATAAATTATTAAACTGTTATATAAACATGGTATTAAACTTGTGTTCCCTTTGCCTCATTTCCTAGCCACATCTAGCCATGCCACTTTCTCATACCTTTGCAGCTGATTTTTTTGAACCGAGGCATGGGTCTTTACATTTGTCTCCATTACACATCATTTTATTGGATTTAACTCCTCCTGCTAGCCTGCTGAGATTTTACCTAGATCTTGAGCCTGTCATCCAAGTTGTTAGCTATCCCTCCCAGTCTTCTATGTCATCTGCAAATTAGATAAGCATGATAATTATTGTTGTTTAATTGTTTAGTCATGTCTGACTCTTCATGACCCCATGGACCATAGCACACCAGGTTCTTCTATCCTCCATTCTCCCTTGCAGTCTGTCCAAGTCCAAGTTCATTGGTTTTTTGTTTTGTTTTGTTTTGTTTTGTTTTAGGCAATTAGGGTTAAGTGACTTGCCCAGGGTCACACAGCTAGAAAGTGTCAAGTGCTTGGTCTGAGGCCAGATTTGAACTCAGATCCTCCTGACCTCAGGTCAGTGCTCTATCCACTGTGCCAACTAGTTGCCCCCTACAGGTTCATTGTTTTCATGACACTATCTCTTCATCTGATCCTCTGCCGTCCTCTTCTCCTTTCGCCTTCAATCTTTCACAATATCAGGGTCTTTTCCAATGAGTCCCATCTTCTCATTATGTGGCCAAAGTATTTAAGCTCTGATTTTAGTATTTGATCTTCCAGTAAATAGACTGAATTAATTTCTTTAAGCATTGACTGATTTGATCTCCTTGCTCTCAAAAGTCTTCTGCAGCACCACAATTAGAAAGTGTTAATTCTGTACCACTCAGCTTTCCTTATAGTGCAACTCTCACAGCCAAACATTGCCACTGGAAAAACCATAGCTTTGACCTTTGTCAGCAAGGTGATATCTCTGCTTTTTAGTATGCTATCCAGATTTGCCATAGCTTTCCTTCCAAGGAGCAAGCATCTTTTAATTTCATAGCTGCAGTTGCTGTCTGTAGTGATCTTTGAGCCCAAGAATATAAAATTTCACACTGCTTCCCCTTCTTCTCCCTCTATTTGCTAGAAAGTGATGGGACCAGTTGACAAGATCTTAAGTTTTTTGATGTTAAGCTTCAAGCTAGTTTTTACACTCTCCTTTTTCACCCTCATCAAGAGGCTTCTTAATTCCTCCTTGCTTTCTGCCATCAGAAGCATGATAAGTATGCCTTTAATCCAAGTTATTGATAAATAATGTCAAACAGAACCAAGCCAAGGGATTTCCTCTGCTTAGGCAGACATTACTGGATTCTTGAACTTGGCTTTCTCCTTCCATGTTCTCTTTCTTTTTAATTCCTCTTCCCTACTCACGCTTCTTCTCTCTCTGTCCAGTGCTATTCCCTTCTGTTTATCTCTCATGTCCTATTCAACCTCTTCTCCCCAAACAGCTTGCTCTGTACCCATGGTCTGAGAGAAAAACAACCAGGAGTGTAACTGCATTCATATTCTTCTCTGCTCAGGTCACACAAGTCTTGTTGAACAGGTTTCCCTCCAGCACTGGTATATTCTTGGGAAAATGAACTCTTAACAATGTCCTACATTCATCTTTAGATTGATATTTGGAAGAGTTTACAATCCATTCAAATTTAATCCAATCTGAGCAGTAGCCTCTGTTAGAATTTCTCTAAAGATCAAACTCCATCTAGGAAACAGGAGGACCACAGGTATGCAGTTTCCTTGTGACTGACACAATTTAAATATATATATATATATATTATATATATATACACACACACATATATATATCATGCTTTATATGATTGTACATATATAATCTATATCAAATTGTTTACTGTCTTAGGGAGGGAGAAAATTTAGATCTCAAAATTTTATGAAAAATGAATGTGAAAAATTGTCTTTACATGTACTTGAAAAAATAAAATACTATTAAAATTATATATCACACATATGCATATATATACACATATATATTTATAGTCTCTTCTCAAGTAACTTCCAAGTTAAAACTCTATTATTACTACCCTTTTGGTAAACCAACAAGAATTTATTAAGTACCTAATGCATGCCAGGCACTGTGCTAAGTGCTGATTTGGCCTTCATTTTTAGATTTTTCCCTTCTCATCTTCCCAGGATCATTGGTCTGGCATAACCACACCTGAGAGGACAGCAGAGGTAAGGAAGGCATGTAGGGAGAGAACAAGGAAGGAAATGGGATGGTAAAGATGGCCACAAGCCACTCTTGGTCTACACCTTAGAAAATACAGTTTTAGTTCCAATGAGAAGGCGAGCTCCTGAGGTGGCAGCCTCAGGCCATACCCTCTGAATTCGCCGCGTCCTAAGGGCTCCTTACCTAGTGAGGACTCAGAAGCTGAAGACGACCTGTTCACACTGAAGGCCATGTCTGAGTCACTGTCGTACTGCGAGCCGCTGGGGGATCCTGAGGGAGAAGCAGTCACTGGGCTAGATTGCAGGGTGCCTACAAAACCAAAGGGAAAAAGAAGCCAGTCAGTGGTGGCTGGATAAACCTCTTGGGAAGGAAGGAATTCCTCCCACAAGGACTAAAACACTGGTTTGCTCACATCATCAACGCTGAGGAGGCAATAGGTTTAGAAGGAGAAGACCTGGAGATTCAAATCTTGCTTCTTGGAGGCCGGTCACTTAACCTCCTTAAATCCAAACGTCTCCTGTAAAACGAGGCTTAGTACTATGTACTCAGTTTGTCTCCTGGGGTTGTTGGAGAAAAGGGCTTTTTGAACCCTAAAGCACTATTAACAACAACAACAACAATAGTAATGATAATGATAGTGACAAGGATGATGGGCGTGCTGGAGCCAGCTCAAACAGGCTTGAGAGCCAACCGCTACATTTTCAATGTGAGCATTTATACTTCAGAAATCAGCTAACGCTACAAATCAAGACTTAATTTATTGTTTTGTTGATTGTCTAAAGAGTTAAGAAAATGATGGAAAAGATGTCAATAATGCAGATTAGACTTAAAAGTGTGTCTCCCTTTTGGGAGAACCAAGTTGTTAAACATTTACCAGCACATCCCTGATAAATAGCTAACATTTATACAGTGCCGTAGAGTTTGTAAAATACTTTACTCATACTGTCTCATTTGATCCTCACAACAAACTGGTCAGGTAGGTACTATTATTCCCATTTTTTTACAGATGAGGTAACTGAGGCAAACAAAGGTTCAGTGACTTGCTTGTGGTCACACAGCTAGTAAGTGTCTGACACTGGATTAGAACTCAGGTCTTCCTGACTCCATGTCTACATATTAATTAATATTCTGCAATTAATTCTATAATGTCTATAATTAAATTTTATTCATTATATTTACATGTGTCCTTGTCATCTCCCTTGATAGACTCTAAACTCTTTAAGGAGAGGGCCTTGTGGTATTCTTCGAATCTCCTCCAGGTACCTAGTAGAAGACTTTGCATATGATGGGTGCAGAATGAAGGCCACCATATGCAGAAGTGCTTCACAGGCAATACATCCATCTGCTGCTACTGTTAAGCATGACAAACCCACTGGTTTCCCCCAATTCACTTCTGTTCCACCTAACACTTTAAGAGAAATAGCAACGGCAACTTATGTGACTTATGTGCTTTATGGTGATTTTCCTCACAACCAATCTGTCAGGTAGGTAGTGCAACCTTAATTTGACAAGTGAGGAAACTGAGGCTCAGAGCAGCCAAGGTTGCAGTGCCAGGATGAGATCATTTAGTTAGGGAAAACTGCTCTTGGGACTCATATAGATTGAAACCCCACATAGGATTATGTAGGGGGCAGCCTGGCATTCTGGCTTCTAATGGATTTTGGATAGCGTTTGGCACATGGTTCCTGCTGCCATCTCCTCATTTTCTAGATCGGTGGTAAGGGGTGGGAGTCCTTGCCACCTGCTGGCATGTTCCTCCAGACATTTCCAACTTTCCAACACTGATACTTCACATTACCCTTCTGTTTCCCAAGACTGAAGAAACTAGGGTGCTGGTGGATGTCCTGGAGATGACCACAGGAGAATGCGGTGTGTGGAGTATGGAGGTAGGAGGGATGAGAAGGCTGTGGTGAGGATAGAGATGTGCAAAGCTGTGTCTGCATTGGCTGGGTTTGAATCTGTTCATTTGCCACAGAGCTAGAAAGATATTTCAGTCAGGTGTTCCAGTCCTGTTCTAGTCCCACGTAGATTGCAAACTCTTGGAGGGAAGGGTCCATGCGTTTGGCTCCTTTATTATTTTTGAGGATATATTTTTTGGGGCTTTTCATTTATGAATCAAAGTCTGCGATAGCATGTTGCTTACTTTTCAATTAAAATCACAGTTTTATATGTTGAAGCAATGTTTCAGACCTCATGCAGTGACCCCTGTGGGGGATGACCAAGACGCGTAGAGCGCCAAACAGCATCATATTAAAGAGAAGCTCCAGGTGTCAATGGTGGCATGAGTGAAAAAGGGACTGGATGGGTAGAGTGGTGGCACAATGGATAGAGAACTAGGCCTAGAGTCACGAAGACCTAAATTAGAATCTGGTCTCAGATACCTCAGACAGTTTCATGACCCTGGGCAAGACATTTAACCTTTATTTGCCTCATTTTCCTTATATGTAAAATGGAGATCATAATAGCACCTTCCTCACAAGATTGTTGTGAGGATCAAATGGATAACAATTGTTACATGCTTAGCACAGTATCTGGGACATATTAAGCACTATACAAATCATCATCATCATTATCCAGAGTCAGAACACTTGAGCTTTAACTTTGGCTCTGCTACTTACTATCTGGGTAAGATCCTTGTTTAGTCTCAGTTTCCTTATCTGTAAAGGGAGAGGGTCGGGCCAGAGCAGTGATTCTCATACTTTTTTGTGTGCTAGACTCCTTGGGGAGTCTGGTGAAGCCTATGGGCCCTTTCTCAGAACAATGTTTTTAAATACATAAATAAAATGCAAAGGATTAAAAAGGAAACCAAAGATCAGTGAAAACAAAGATATATTTTTCCTCAAATCTATCCATGACTCTCCCCCACCCAAAGAACCCCGGGCTAAACAATGGCTAAGCCCCCTCAACCCTAAATTCTATTTCCTCCTGAATTGTCAGCTCTTTTGACTGAGCTGTTTTCTCCCATTTAGGTTCGGGTGCTGGGGGTGGTGAGGAAGAGAAGAATGGATGAATGAAGAACTTTGCCTTACTCAACTCTTCCAAGCAGGAAAGGCGTCTCCCCTCTCACCATCTGCTAGGAGCAGGGGAGGCTGGGGGAGCCCCAGCAGCTGCTACTGTCTCAGCACTCAGTTTTCAGGTCAGCAGGTGGGTGCATAGGGAGGAGACCTTCAGTTAATCAGTAAGTATTGGTTCACTTTGTGCTGTTGCTAAGCTAGTTGTCTTAGGGGTCCAATCCAAAAAGGTAGATTGAATAGATATTAAATCAGTAGTTCTTAACCTGGGGTGCATGAACTTGGTTTTTAAAACGATTTATTTATTTTTCATTTTCAACTTTCACCTTTATAAGATTCTGAGTTCTGAATTTTTCCCCCTCCCCTACTCTCTCCTCCCCAAGATGGCATGCAATCTAATATACATGTACAATCATATTATGCATATTTATAAACTTCTTTTAAAAAAATATTTCAATAACTATTAAATGTAATTAATTTCCTATATATTCTATTTTATGCATTTAAAAATATTGTTCTGATAAAGGGCCCACAGGCTTTACTAGACATTTTATTTCTAATATTTCTATATTTTATATATGTTATAATTATATTTATAATATTTATATTATATTGATAAGTAAATCAGCAAAGGGGTCCATGATACAAAAAAAGGTTATGATCTCTGAACTAGAGAGAAAGCTATTATATACCTCTAGGAAATCAAAAACAGAAATAAAAGTCCAACATAGATAAAAATATTCATAGCAGTACTCTTTGTATTAGCAAAAAAACAAATCTTGAAATAATGATAGCTAATAGGTCATATTTATGCAGCACTTCAAGGTTTGCAAAGCACTTTAAAAATATGATCTCATTTGATCCTTACAACAACCCTGGGAGGGAGGTGCTATTGCTGTCCCCATCTTGTAGATGAGAAACTGAGGTGGGTAGTAGTTAAGTGACTTGTCTGGGGTCACACAGCTAGTAAGTGTCTGAGGCCATTTCCTGAGGTCTCCAGTTCCCACTCACAGTCTCCTAATTGTGAGCTCTTTGAGGTAGGACTGTCTTTGGCCTCTTTTTGTATTCCCAGCACTTAGCATGGTGCCTGACACATAGCTGGTGCTTAATAAATGGTTATTGATGGACAGTCTGTTGCCCAGCTTGTCAGGTCTTTCTGACTCCAGGTCCATAGCTCTGGTCACTGCATCACCTAGCTGCCTCTGGAAATTGGGTGCCTGTTTGATTGGGGAATGGCTGAATGAATCGTGCTATATGAACAGAATATTATTGGACAGTAAGAAATTATGAATATAAAGAAATCAGAGAAATATGATGAGTTGTATGAATTGAGATATAGTAAGGTAAGCAGAATCCAAATACACACTGACTTACAACAATGTAAATGAAAAGGTCACCTTACAGCAACCGAACTCTGAGGAAGTGAAAGCACCAGTTGGATCCAAAGAACAGCTAAGGATCTGTTTACCACTATGGAGAGAAAGGGACTTCTTAGGGAAAATGCCATATATGTGGTCAGATGTGGTCATGGTATTGGATGCTTTTGCTTAATTTTCTTTCTTTTCTTTTCTTTTTCTGTTTTTTTACCCACAAGGAAGGGTTCAATCAAGAGCAGGGAGGGTTGGGTTTTATTTATTTTTTTCCCGTCTTTTTCCCAGAAATGACTGATATTAAGACAATAGGCATTGTTACGTTGATCAACAAACATTTATTAAGACCTTACTATGAAACATTAGGAAAAAAAATAAACTAGATAGTAGGGTCTTGCCATCACCATGGCAACATAATTGCTACTTTCAGTACCTTTAGGAGGCTCTGGGAAATGACACAACGGAAGGTTCGGGACACAGCCTAGCTACGGTCCAGACTAACAGATCATGAAGTGGTGCAGGCCATGAACTTGAATCACAGCCTGGAAGGAGCCCAGCGTTCATCGACTTCAATTTTTCATAAACAAGGATCTCTTTTCTGGTATTCCTGATGAACAAGCATACACCTGTCTCACCTGAAGACCTTCAGTGAAGCATGACTTCTACCTTCCAAGGAGGCCCCATCCTGCTTGTGGGTAGCTATAATTGATAAGAAGTTTTCCCTGACGTTAAGCCTAAGTCTGTCTCTCGGCACATTCCACCCGCCGCTCCTACTTCTGTGCTCCAGGGCCGAGCCAAATAAGTCTAACCCCACCTTTACAAGACAGTTACCCTGACCCCTGCCCTGTGGAAGTCTAGTCTTCTCTCCCTAGCTCCTTCAAAAGTGTGGCCTGGTCTCCAAGTCCCCCTCTCAGTCTTCCAAGGAGGTTGTGAGCTCTTCGAGGGCTGGAACTGTCTTTGCCTCTTTTTGTATTCCTAGCACTTAGCACAGTGTCCAACACGTAGTAGGTGCTTAATAAATGGTTAATGACAGACAGTCTGTTGCCCAGCTTGTCAGTGGCCTTCATACGATGTGGTGCTCAGGACTAAACACAGTGCTCAAAGATGTTTGACCAGGGAAGAGTACAGTGACATGATCCCCTCCTTCATTTTGGGTACTCTGTCCCTCGACGCAAATAAAGGTCATATTCAATTCTGACTCCTCAGAGGCCATATCATATTGCGTTTGTGATCAAAGAAATCTCTTGAAATGAGAAGGCCTGCGGTCATGGCAGCCTCCTCCCTTGATGTCGGAGGGAAACAAGGAAGTGAGAAGGAAGCTAGGCTAAGTATTTGGGAAGGAGAGAGAAGGACCAAATCTAATAAGAATAACGGATTATATTTCTATGGCACTTTAAAGTTTACAAAATGCTTTGCCTCTCACACACACAAAAACCCATTAAGTGGTTAACTCAAGTTTGATTATCACCGTTTTATGGTGGAAGAAACTAAAGCTGAGGGTGGTAGAGTGACTTGCCTGGTCACATGGCTAGTAAATGGTAGATCCAGGCCTCCCGACTCTGAAGGCCTGGGTCCTCGCACTATATTATGTTTTGATAAGTCAATATAGAAATCCATGGAAAACTCCCCTGGGTATTGATGGGGAGGAGAAAATGAAATTTATATGTGCCAGGGTGGTCCAATATCATAGAAAGGTTGCTGGGTTATAGAGAACCTGGGTTCAAATATCAGACTTGGTCATCTGTATGATCAATTATTCAATCCACATATATTTACATGCCTACTTCCAGGCAGGTGGGAGGCTAAGGGGGGCCAAGACAAAAGTCAAACAATACTTGTTCTTGAGGAACTTATGATCTAGTGAAGGGGGTCAATAGATATCCATACAAAATAGATGCAAGATAATTTGGGATGAGGAGGGGGGAGTTACTAGCAGCTGGGGGTGCCAGGAAAGGCCCCATGGAAGAGGTGGCATGTGAGCTGGGCCCTGAAGGAAGTTAGAGATTCTGAGAGGCAGGGATGAGGAGGAAGGGCATGCTAGCCATGGGGGACAGCCGGTGAAAGGCATGGAGAAAGGAGATAGAGGATGTCACATGTGAGGAACCCCAAAAAAGCCAGTTTGGCCAGTGAGTGCCAAGCAGGAGTTTATATTGATCCTATAGGTTTTCACTTAATCTCTCTGGGCCTGTTTCCACAACTATAATATGAAGGAACTGTATTAGATAACTTGGGGATGTGCATTATTATGTAGTGTGAGTGTACAAATCCAACATTATCACACAAATAAATCATATTTCATCAGGATTCTGATAAGTGTTTTATATTATATTCATCTATGTGTAAGTCTCATGTCTCCTTTTCCCTATTAGACTGTTAGTTCCTTGAGGTCAGAGACCATGTCTTAATAATAAGGGATTATTGATAATAATATTTAATCAATAATAGATTATTTATAAACTATACAAGTGTAAAAATAAATTATTAACATGTATAGCTATTTTAATTATTATGCATAATAAATTTATCATTTTATTACATATTTATTTATATAGTATCTACTATGTGCTGAGCACTGTGCTAAGTAGTTTACAGATATTATTATCTCATTTGATCCTCACAACAACCCTAGGAAGTATTATTATCCCTATGTTACAATTGAGGAAACTGAGGCAAATAGAGGTTAAGTGACTTGCCCAGGGTCACATAGTAAGTGTCTGAGGTCATATTTGAACTCAGTTCTCCCTGATTCTAGACCCAGTGCTCTATCCACTGTGCCCTCTAACTGTTCTTATTCTTCTTGTATTCCCCTAGTCTTAATACAACACTTTGCAAATGGTAGGCATGTAACAAATATTTGTTGAACTGGATCTCCTTGGCATGTGCAATGTCCTCAGCCAGCAGGCAGACAAAGCATTGGAATATTGCAGCAGTCAAATAAAAAAATTAGCCCTGTGAAATGTGAGAAATCTGGCAGTGTTGCACACAACTTCTTTAAAATGGACTTACCCAGAGCAGAACCAGGAGAACGTTGTACGCAGTAATAGCTACATTGTGTGATGACTAATATTGATAGACTTAGCCCTTCTCAGTAATACAAGAATCTAAGACATCTCCAAAGGTCTCATGATGGAAAATG